GAACAAGTTTTACTAAAACTTGTTGGGAACACGGACTTGTTGAAAAAAATCCTCTGGTCCGAGAAATAGACATGCAGCTGGCAGCAGCAACACTAGCGTGTACTTTGTAAAATAAAATGTACTTCTTGTCTCGTGACTATTACATGACCCCTAAACAAACCAAAACAAAATACCATGAGTCCTTGGTTTTTGATTTTTAAGTAAGTTCACCTCTGTTGCTGTATTATTATTATTTTTTTTTAAAGTAAATGTGAGGAGGAATGGTGTTTCTTAAATAGGACAGGTACTGTTGTCTTGTGTTTGGAAAGCATAATTTTCGGTGCTACCATGATGGATTTAATAATTGCAAATTCAGCTTTGGCAGTTAAATGGGGGAAAGTGTTGTGTGAGGTTTTATTTGTAATATCAAGATACTTAGTTTTTAGGAAGATCTTTTTATTTAATTTATATTTATAGATCTTTATATGTTTATATTTCTATATTTATAGAATATTTTATTATATTTATATTTATATTTATATAAAATAAAAACACACAGTTCATAGGCTTGTTTTTTTAGGGTTTTTTTTTTTTTCATTGACGCATTATCCTGAAAATCAAACCAAACTGATCATTAAATGGCTATTTCTGGATAACTCTAAAAGGAAGGCCTCAGTTCTTGAGAAGGAGTCAGTATTTACCAAAAATGTTTTATATTTGTTACTGTTTTGTTTTTTGTTTGTTCTTGATAGGCCTAAAACAACCTCCCTGATTAAATCATGCTGAATTTCGCCAAAGTTCAGATCTAGATTTGAATACAAAATTTGTGTCTTAGATCTATTTCTAGCCCCCCCCCTTGTTGATTTGAGTCGCTGTTTTTAAACTTGAAAAGCAATTCTCGAGTTACTCAGTGGATAAGCCTTCATGGTAACATTATCAATAAGCTTATTACCACACTGGCAGTTCATTGTGCCCAGTCCTCTCCTAATTTATATAACTTTTTCAGACTGCTGTATGTCGTGTTGACTTCTAAATCCTTAGGAGCCAGCTAAACTGTTGGTACGTTATTAACTGCTTCAATGGAGTGGCAGAATATCACCTAAGAACTATAATTTTTTTTTTAAGTAGTTGCTGTGGTTTCATGAGTCATGTTGAAGTCCAGCACCCTGTTCTGACAAAGAATGAAGGTTAACTTACCTGTCATTAGACAGCCTCATTTTTAAGGGATAACATCAAGATAAAATCAAGGGCCAAATTGTCCTTTAATTTCTATGAAGCCAAAAGAGTTATACTAGGAAAGCATTTTCCCTGTATACCTAAACATTTCCTTACCTCTGTTACGAAGGGTAATACTCAATAATATTAAAACTAGGAGGTGGTTGTAAAACTAAGTTCAAAATTTTTCACAGGGGTAAAAATGGTGGTAGTGAGGAATTAACTGGAATTTTTCTATTTTGACAAAAAAGTAAACGTTCCTCAGTTTGTGTGTTTGGTTTTCCATTGTTCTCTGTTTTGAAAGCCAAAATGTGTTGAGGTTTTTGTTGGAAACACTGGAAAATTTCAAAAGAAAAGTTTTTCTCCATGAAAATTTCCACATCCCCCATAAAGGGGGCATTTTTGGATGGAAAAATCTCAACCAAAAATGTTATCACTTCTACTAAGAACACTTCATTTTATTTTTCATCATTGTTGCTGTCTGCGAACTTCTTTCACTTCCCTCAGCTTGGTCAGTAACCGGTCTATTTCACTTTCATTTTCTTGTTTTATTTCCTGGCTCGTGTGTGTGCGTGTGTGTTTCTGAAACTACATGGAAATCTTAAACTTAAATTGAAAGCAAAACCTATTCCTTGAAAGTTCATTGACATTTGTATTCATATTAGGTTAAAGCCTGACCCCACTGAAGCCAAAGGCAAAATTTCCAATTTGACTTCAATAGGATCAGGATTTCGCCCATTGTTTATTTGTATAGAGCTGGTCGGGAATTTTCCATTAAGACTTTTTGGCAAAATGCAATTTCTGCACAATTGAATGTTGAGAAAATTTCAACTTTTCCGAAGCTTTTTGATATTTCTGTCAAGAAAACTGAAACTAAATATGTAAGGTAATGTTTCATTTCAGTATGTTGCACTAACCAGAAACATTTCATTTGGATTCAGTTTAACATTAAAGTGTTTCTCATTGGTGCCTCATTGCATCATGGGAGTTGTTGCTTGATGCTCTCTTTCTCTCCTATGGACTGGGCTCCCTGGCTAGACATCATCTCCCATGATGCACACCATGGCTCAATCAGACAGGAGACAGTTGCATCATGCGAGTAGTAGTCCAGCCACTCCTGCAACCTTTTTATTCACCCCCATACCATCTCCTATGGAGGAAGCCCAGTACTGAGATTTTTTTTTTTTTTTTAAAGCTGGATAACTTTGATTGGTAACATTTGTAGTTTTACTTATTAAAAATGACATCAAATCTCATGCTTCAGGTAACAAGTTGATTTCCTTCTGGGTCTGGAAGGAATTTCCCTTTCATGTAAGGTATTAGAACAGGACTAGATCCATTATGGGTGTTTCCACCTTTCTCTGAAGCCTAATGTATTGATCACTGTCAGAATACAGGGTACTGGGCTGGCTGGATCAATGGTCTGAGCTGGTGTGAGAAATACCCTACTCTTGGAATAAGGAAATGATTGGTCTACAGTGAAATAAAATGCATTTGTATATTTACTTAATATAAATGGCTATGCAAAATAGAGGTTGAACTTGGCTGTTACTCAGCAAGACACCCTACTAACCCTCTATTGGTGTCTACCCAGTTAGCTTCCTTTGTTTGTTTGTTAAAAGTGAAAACGCATTTCTAGCCCTTCTAGGTGTAAAGAAGACATTTAGGATGTGCCTCATTGGTATGCTGTTTACCTGAACCTGTGAACAGCCCGCGTGGAATGACAGCTGTAAAGGAGGAATACACTGACCCCATTTTATCACAAGGACATGCTAACTCTGAAGCCTAATGATGGAAGTGTCAACATTAACTATTTAACTGCTGGTCATTTTAGTAGAAACATCTAGCTATTGTTGGCATGCAGGCAGACCTGTGGACTGTGGGAGGAGATTGGGTGGAAACCTGCTGCCTTCTCTTTGGCCTGATCACTGATGCAAACTCTATTTAAAATTCAAAGAATGATTAAAAGATACAGCCAGTGCATAAATATTAAATTTATTGGGCTAAACCCTGATTCTTTTTTCCTACTTGGTTTTTATTCAGGCAAAACCATCATTCAATGGGAGCCTTGCCCAGCCCAAATCCTGTGAGCTGCTGGGTACTAGCAGTTACTAGTCTCTTTGCTTACTCCTGCAGCATTGGCCATTTCAGTTGAGAATTTGGCCCACGGATATAGCCGTGTTTTATACATTTATATGGTAAAAATTGTATGTGTTGTGTGTTCAAATGTATTCTAACTACACTTGTTGAACATACAGACAATGCATGAATCAAAGGGGCAAATGTACAGAGGTCCTGTGTTACTGTCTCCCATCTTTTACTTTCATGAAATTGCATAGGTGAAATGAAATTTGAACCACACTTTCAGTTTGGATTCCCTTTCTGATTAATGTACCTAGAAATAAATAATCAATGCTCTGATGAAAAGGTATTTAAGCTCAAGTCAATTTAAAAAAAAAAGTCTTTGTAGACATGAGAATGTTGCCTGAATAGTCTTGTTTTCCATCGATTCCGCCTCCACCCTGGCCTCAAATATTCTGTTAGGGGCTTTGTAACTGTGAGCTCCCTCCCTTTCCCATAATGTGTCTGGTGTGAGGTCATGCAACAAAGGCTGTGTTGTAAGTTCTCTAAAAGCACAACATGCAAGAAATATCTGTTTTCCCCTCACCCTCACTTTATACAGCACCACAACACTGTACAGCAAGACTGAACTGACTCTCCCAATTATTTTCAGTGTAACTCAGTGTTTTCCCTTTCAGTTACTTCTACCACCACCACACATACTCTATTTTAAGGCCATGTAGAGATGGGCCCAGAAAGGGACAACAAATTCAAACACCCCTGTAACTTTGAGAGGGTGGACCCAAACCTGAGCCCAAACTTAGCAATCAATGCCTGTCTACATAATGTAACCGGCATATAATCTTTTGCTTAGGTATATCTCCATATATATATATATAGAGAGAGAGAGAGAACACGCACTGGAAGGGACCCTGAAAGGTCATTGAGTCACTAGCAGGACCAAGTACTGATTTTGCCACAGATCCCGAAGTGGCCCCCTCAAGGATTGAACTCTCAACCCTGGGTTTAGCAGGTCAATGCTCAAACCACTGAGCTATCCCTCCCCCCTTCTGTGGCCCCTGTGACTTTTGTTTTTTCTTGTGGATTTGACTTTGTTTGGTGTAAGCTTTTATGAGGGAAAGACTCCATGCTTGTTGCCAGAAGGCATCGGAGCATAATGTATTGGGGAAAGCTAATCTAAGAAAAGTTTTTCTCCCCATCTCTCATAATCATGTTGGAGCTAGAGGGCAGCTTGACGTTACCACTGTAAGAAATAAGTTTTCCTATTGACAGACCTTTTCTAACAGCGCTTCAATGAATGGTGATGCCAGGCTCCACATTGGTAAGTTTCAGAAGATGTTCTTTAAACAAAGAAGATAATTAGAAGGACTTTGGTCCATTAATTCCCAGCTCCCTGGTGTCACAGGATATCAACTGTGTGGGATAGGCCCACCTGATCCTAAAAAATGATCTCTAACCAATTCATCAGGGAGAAGGGGAAAATACCCATGGTTCATGTCGTGGGGGAAATTCTCTCTCAAATTGAAAGGTAGTGATCAGTGCATGTTTACTGTGTACTGTGACATACCACTACTGTCCAAGTAAACTCTGAAAATTTATTATGTCTTGACTTTCTGTCTTTCTGTCTATCTTTCTTCTCTCTCTTGGACTTGGCCGGGCCATGTACAAATCCCAATCATTCAACAGTACTGGAGAGTAGATAGTATTTACCTCAATAATGGTAGTTTCTTTTCGGTTCTTTTTAACCCTCAATTCAGATGATGGTTCGAAGCCCACGCCCACCATGGAGACCCAGCCTATTTTTGATGGTGAAGGTAAGAGCCTCCCTTTTAAACACATTTTTCTCTCTCCCTCACATTTGTTGTTCAAACCCTGGCTTTAACCTGCAATGCAGTAACGCCCTGAATCTTATAAGTTGTCTACAGTTCAGAGTACCCTTGGGACTTGACGTATTTTTCCAAATCCTTTCCCATCCTCCCTTCTTCCCTGGGATCCAACAATAACACCAGTTGGACGGATCCTTTGGATAACCTCAGAGAGGAAGACGTCATGGCTAAAAAATGCTCCCTGAGTCAGAAATGACAGTTTCGTATATTCCATCCTTTCTCCCCCCTGTGGTATTGGTACAAGGAATTTCATAACCTCTGCTAGAACACAGCAGCTTCCCCAAAGGGAGGAAAAGGCTAAACTACAGTCTGTGAATGTTGACTTGGAGGAAAAATGTTGGGCGGTTTCTTCATTTACCCCTTCCCTTCAGTGATACACTTTCCATTAAGTAAATGAAGTCAGCATCTTGGGCCCACCTGATCCATGGTCCACCAAGCCAGTTTCTTCTTTCAGATGTGCCGACTCAGTGACTTTTGAGGAATTGTTTTGCCTCAGTTCACTGGAATCCTTAAATGAAAGCGACACTGCTGTGATCAGTTATAATTAGATGTGAGCCAAAACCTGAACCTTTGCTATGAACCCCTTCAGATGTCCTGGCCAGGGGAGAGCTGCAGATTTTAATGCTGTCCCTAAGATTTTAAGATGGAGTTGAAACCAAAAATAGAAGGGATTTGGCAGGACCAGGTGGTGCCGTCGGTAGCTTCTCCCTTCGCCTCACACAAATAGGTGGTTGTGGTGGGTTTCGGTTTTGGGTTTTTTCTGGCTAAAATAAGCGTATTTAATAGCAAGCGACTGCAATTCCATCATTTCCATTTGCCTGGACCTAGCTTTTATAAAAAAAAAATTGTATCCGCTTTAAAAAACAAATAAGATACCTAAGCCAAAATATTGTATTCCCACATAAATAAACAGAGGAAACAAAACCCTAGTTGTCAGTCTTCTGTTTGCATAAAAAAAAAACCCTGTTCCTTCTAGCAGCCATCTGGTATTGTATTAAATTGCTGTTTGTAATAACAGCATGCTGCTGGGCTTTCAGTTTACCCCAAGATAGTGGTTGTGAATGCACAATGGAAGGAATGCACTAAGAAAATGTGGACTTAACTGCAGGAAGAATTACCAAACAGTGCACTAGATTAGTCTGTGGAAGCCCTGTCAGAAGCTTCTTAGGGAATGGTGAAAGTCCCCAATCTTCAGGTCATTCAGACAACGCACTAGAGAGTACACTGCAGAGACAGTCCTGCCCTGGCCACCAAGAGGACATGAAGAGCCTAATAGCTCTTGTGTGCCTCTCTTCTGTGCAAGACATTTTAAAGTCCCCAATCTTTGCTCATTCAAAGGACCCATCATTCTGCACTGAGATTGTAGGTGAGACCAAGGGGGAAATGGACCATAGCTAGCTTGTACAGCGTAATGAAGGACCATGCACCCGCTTTGTTTATTTTGTGTGTGTTACTTGAATCTTGCAATACATCATGCAATCACTTTTTCCTCTTGCACCACGCATGTCTCGTAACAGGAATGGTCAGATTTTAGGCCTTCTGTTAACTTGGGCAGCATTCCTTTTGACCCAATGGAGAGGCAGCATGAGACTGGGAGCTATCCAAGTTCTGACACTGACACACTGTGTGACCTTGGATACGTCACTTTATCTCTCTCTGTCAGTTTCACCATTTCTAAAATAGGGATAAGTAAATTTACTACTGCGCTGGGGGGTTGTGATGATCACTTCATTGGTCCGAGACCCTCCAATGGGAGATGACAGAGAAAGCCAAAGCATTGTTCTGTTATCCATTATGTCTGGGGCTCTCAAAGGTGAGAGTTAAGTGTACAAATCCCATTGAATTTCAGTAGGATTTGTATGCTTAACTCCTTTAGGCTCTTTCTTTCTTTGAAAATTTCACCCTATGGGTACAGAATTAGTAAACAACTCTGGCCCAGTAATGGGATTTTAGTAAACAATCCATTACACCTGTGCTACTGCCGTGGAGGCACTGGGGCTGCAAAAGTGTCACTGGAGCTTAATTTGAAGGCATTGTGGTTGCAGGAGTGGAAGGAAAAGGGGTTAATGTTGCCTTCAGAATCTTTATTACTCATGTGACGAGCAAAAAAGGAAAACTGCTTTGAGCATCACATAGGGTTTGGGGATGTCAGATTGTTAAAATGAAAACTGACTTGATGTTTAGAGTTTTAAATGCTCTGGTTTTCCCCTGAAATGTGTGTTTGAAAACAATTTCTTTTTTAGCTAGATACAAAAAGCAAAACCTGGCAGCAAAACCCTGAAGTTAAATTGCTGTTACAATAAACTTTTTTTAAACGAACGTATTTCCACATATCCTTGAAAGGGGAAAAAATTCTTGCTTGAAAGAAGTCCCTTACATGGCATCAGTTATCTTTGTTAGGGAAAAGGGAGAGGTCCGCTTTAGATGGTAGCTCTTGGGTTATGTTGTCTGAGGCCAGATTTTTCAAATGTGGTTATAACTCAATGTGCTGGGCTGGTTAGGAAGTCTGGCCATTTGCATAGGTGTCTGAATGAGAGCAGAGCTTTTTTGAAAAGCAGGCACCAGTTGCAGGAGTAGAGCACTCCTTGAAACTTTGTCCTTAAATCTCACACTCTCTCTCTCGAAAATAATAGCACACAGGTCAGGGAGGTGTAGCTTCTGACTCTGGTTGCAGTTCAGCAGCTTCATGACATGAGACCTTGGATTGGGGTGGGGTGGGGGGGTTGGGGTAGATGACTAAATTGCTCGATTTCTCCTTTCACAAGCAAACGCTCCTATGATTGCTGTAGCTGAGAGAGAAAGAGAAAAAATGTTTCCCGTCCTAACCTTTCAGTTTGTTTACTTTGTGCATTTGATGTACTCTTTGTATTATTTATTTCTCTTATATAGTCAGTCAGCTTCTTCCTTGTTGAACAGAGCTATATAAATGTCAATAAGCAAACCGAAAAACCCTTGTAATATTTTTTATATTACAAAAATAAATAAATCAGGCCCTACTATTTTAAAAAATATTCCAGTTTTCAATAGAGGATGCTTTAGTTAGTTTTAAAAAGTCCCTTTTAGAGACCACTTAGGGTATCAAGTACCCCACTCAACCTCTATTTGAATATCTCTCTGTTAAGCAACCAGTTTTTATCCTCCCTTGAGGGGTTGCGTAAGGCAGGGTTTGCTGTATTTTGAACTTGAACAGTATAACATGTTTAATCCAAGGATTTCTAAGCACTTTCAGAAAGTCAATATCTGTGTATGTTTTGGTTTAGTGCATCACATGTCCTTTAACTAGATCTGTTTCTTTAACTTGCTTTCTTTTAAGTGTTCCCAGCAGTGCTCTTCATTTATCTATTTGCTTTTGATTTTCTTAAAAGGGAATTGACAATTGGAAGGGGGTGATCAGCTGCTCTCTGGGGTCTAGGGTAATGTTTACATTCCTGATTTTAAAGTATTTTACTGAATTTCATGCAACTGTTAGTGGAAAACATGACATGCAGTACCACACAACATAGTCCGTACCTCTTCTGAGTCAGGGCTGAAGGGTATGAGGCAGGATACTGTGCGCTAGGGAAAGCAGGAAACAGAGATGTAATATATGGAAAGCGAGGAAGAGGTTGTGTGTGCTTGTGGTGGGAGATAATTAAAGGCTCACACTACACAAAATGCACAAAGGAACCCTGGAGGTAGCATATCTGGAGGACATGTCAAAACCCAAGAACTAGGATGGACCACTCAGGACACTTCCACCTCCATCATGCTCCCCCACCCCCACTAGTGGAACTAAAATGGTTTTATTAAGTGTTTTTCGTTGTCTTTCAGAAATCACAGCTCCCACACTTTGGATCAAACACTTGGTCATCAAAGATTCCAAACTGAACAGCTCCAGTATGAGAAATTCAGGTAACGAATGCCTGCTTAAAAAAAAAAAAAGGCAATTAACTAAGCAGCGTGATCCTTTTCCCAGGACTCTTCATTTCATTCTTTCTCTCTTGCAGCTACAATGCTGCTCTCTCTCAACACTGCAGAGTGGGGAAACCCAGGCAACAAATGAGAGAGGGTCTCTTACCTGTGTACCAGGTATATGCTGAGGAGAGTTTCTGTTCTCTAAAACAGGAACTCGGGATACTGAAGGAAACTTTGGGTTTGTTCACCCAGGGCTTCATACCAGACTGCCAGTCTTCATTCCACTCCCATGTTCCCGCTCATTAATCCTGTTTCATAACTCCATGAACGAACACTTTCCTGAGAGCATCCTTATTGCAGTGTGTGTGTGTGTGTGTGTGTGTGTGTGTGTGTGTGTGGTTTCCAAGGAACTGAGGTTGTTGCTAAACTTGAGTTCCAATCTAAGTAGCTATGATCACCCAAGGCATCTGTAGTGGTATTTTGGATAAATGGGTAACAGAGACTCTGAGGTGGGTTATCCTGGGTGGGCTTTGCAATAAACGTGAGCTGTAAATGGGTGAAGAGAGAATTATTGCTTTGCATAGCAGGGTGGGAAGAAGTTCCGCATGTGAAAGACAGCCCAGAAAATATGACGGTGAGAGGAATGAGCAGGTCACTGGGATCAGGGAGGTGAGAGGCTCAGGTGGAACAAAGAACAAAAGGTGGAATAGGCAGAAATGAGAACAGAGATGTAGGCGGGGTGTGTGATGCTTCCTGGCGGTACCCAGGGCTGTGAGGCACCTCACTACCATCTGCCCTTCGTGTGAGGAAGCCTTGTCAGTACCTGCTGGTTGTCAGTGCTCTCACTGCCGTTGGCAACACAAGCACTTCCCTCTCAGCCTACGCAGACCATCTGTCCCTCTGCAGGTTAGTGACAGGCACGCTCCAAGCTTCCCTCTGGAGCGTCCAGCCTAGGCTGACCAGACAACAAGTATGAAAAATCGGGACAGAGGATGGGGGGTAATAGGCGCCTATATAAGACAAAGCCCCAAAAATTGGGACTGTCCCTATACAATCGGGACATCTGGTCACCCTAGTCCAGCCTCAAATCTACTGGACACTCACAGAATTCCCAGATCTGTTATTCACAAAGGAACAGTGCACCTCATCTTACCAGTTTCACCTCTCCACTTAACTCTCCGCACCTGTAAGTGTTTTCACTATAAGCAAATCTAAGTTTATTTAACAAAGAACAAAGATTCAAATAATAGCAGCTAGATAAAAGTATTGGCAGCAATCAAATACATGTAAAATAAAATCACAATGCTCTTTCTAGAGCTTAATGCTTAACTAACAAGACATTGTCCTGTCTAATGAAGTTAAGCTCACCCAAAGTCTTCTCCCAGCATTCAATCAGAAGCCTGACTGAGAGCCTCCCAAGCACACGGGCAGCTTGTCCTCTAGGTGAAGGATAGTTGGTGTCCCGCTACATTCTTCTCATATACCAGACTAATTTGATCTTAGTAGGGAGGATGTCCTGTTTATGACTGTGTGTTCCTTCCTGTAGATTTTATGAACTCTTGTCAGTCAGTCTTGATTAGCTGTTAGTTCCCTATGCAAATGCATGTACATTGTAAGACACAATGGTCAGCCGGGGAGATAAGTGTCTACTACCCCCTGCCTGAACAGAGTCTATTTATCACCTTCAGGTGACCAGTCTTAACTTGCATATCTTAAGAACGTAGAATGATTAGGACAACCAGTGGATTAATGACTGCTGGTAGAGACCTTGCATGCCACCTTTTGGCACACTATGATGGAGACATCAGACCCAGGGGGATCCTTGTAAATCCTTATGCACCACTTGTGTACTCCACCAGTTGGCACCAAGGGGTGTCTGGGTGTGCAGAGATGTGAGAATGGAGAGCTAGAACTTGAGGTAGAGAGTGAGAGAGATTTGAAGAGGGGAGTGAGGTCTGAGCAGTGGGTGAAGCTGATGATTTGATCTGCTGAATGTTTTGGGTAGACTGGAGGGAAATGATATGGGAATTGGGAAGCCAGACAGGAGGAAGCTGCTAGGAGATGACCAAGATATTGATTTAAGATTTGACAAATAGCTATCACCATCCACACACTTTTATAAAGAGACAAGAAATAGACCCTCACCCCCCTCAAGCCCCAGGTAACTTGTGGAGGCAGTTTAAACTAGTTGTTAGTGCCAGTCTCTTGCTTTTATTCCTAGTTTAGCCTAGGATTCTGGTCTTCAGTAATTCACTTAACCTGTCTCTGCCTCTTCCCAATCACAAACTGAAGGTGATCTGGAGCTAAATGGCAGAAATAAAGTAGGCTTAATTAGCTAATGTGGATAAAGTAAGCTAGATCCTTCATGACCTCCAGATTGGATTACAGCAGCATGGTCGACATGGGGTTACCCTAGAAGGCCACCCAGAAACTTCAGCTGGTGTAGAAGTGTTGACCAGCTGGCTTAGTGGTGTTTCAAATGCAGAGCAAACCACACCTGTGCTCCATGAACTTCACTGGCTACCGATTTATTCCTGGTGTCATCCAAAGTGGTGGTTTTGCTCTGTAAAGCCGTATATGATTTTGGTCCTGGCTATCTTAGCAACCACCTGCCTCATTATGCAACACTCCTGGTAGCTGAGATTCAAATGAGAGACTCTTGCTTCCAGTTCCCGGATCTGAATTTGGGAAGGGAGGGCTGAAAAATGGGTATCCTCAGTAGGGAGAAGGAGGGTCTTTGACTCTAGGATTTGCTTACCACTCTTGCTTAGCCCTATAGAGCTTTTGACCTTCCCAGCATGCTGCAAGCACTATCTGTTCAAGCTTTCCCTCAGGAAACTGCCTTATGTCAGAGGGAGTGTTGCTTGAGAAGGAGTTCCTTTTGTGAGCTTGGTCCATTTTGTTCTTAATTGGTGTTTTTTTTTTTTATTTTTTTTATTTTTAATGACTGTAAATGAACCCAGAGATTGTATTGGGCACACATTACTAATCCAAAAATAAACTCTCCGCTGGAGAATTTCAAATGAGTACAAAAAAGACAACTACCACAGCAAGGTAAAATGAGCTGTTAAAAAATCTCATTGAGCATAATTGATTGCCCTCATATGATGTACTTTCTATAATACCTTGTAACTGATGTAAGAGGGGAAAGTTGCTAATTCTAGACTCAATTTTTCACACTGTGCCACACAAACCTTCAGTCATCTCTGTTTGCTACAATGAATTACTGACCTCGGGGAAAGGCCAGATCACGAAAGCAGTTATGGAACAGCTAACACATTTAACACACAACTCTCAGCTCCCTTTCTACTGTTTTTTATGGTGCTTTTTTATTCTGGATTTTTTGTTGAAGGATAGGGGCATGCATCTGGAAGGTATGGAAGGCAAGCACTATATATGAGCTAAGTCTTAATAAGGAAAACTTTTGAAAATACGATGATGACCGTTAATTGCTTACGTATTTTGGATGCCCAGGATGAGATACTTATGTGTCTTAAATTCGGCATCCAAAATTAGTGGATGCTTTTGATAACTTTAGCTTACAGCAGTGCTAGATCTTATTGCACAGTCTGTTTTTGTTTTCTCTCATTGTATTATTGTTTTTAACAGGTTAAGGTAAGTTTTGCTGCCAGTTTTTCTGCATTGGCTTGGCTGTATTGCCTCTGAGCCTAAAGCTCCTCAAATTAAGTAAATTCTTACATTGTCTTGCTGTATTTTAATGGACTCATTGATGTTAGAGTGGAAACTTAGTAGACCTTTATCTACTCCCTGCCCCCCAGGCCAGTGAATATTTCTTCTCTACAGTATGTAATGTTTTCTACTGGAGTTTAAATACCTCCAGCAATAAAGCTTCCACCACTTCCTCTGGGAGACTCTTCCATTCTCTGGGAGACTCTTCCATTCTCTGGCTACATCTACACTGCAAGCTAGGGCTGTGGTTTCCAGCTTATGTGGACACGCTTGGGCTAGCTGACATCTGAGCCAGTACACTAAAAATAGTAGTGTAACTGGGTAGCACAGGTGGCGGCGGCAGCAACAGCATGGGCTAGCCACCCCAAGTATGGGCCCACAGGGTTCAGGTAGGTTTGTACTTGGGGCAGCAAGCCTGTGCTTCTGCTGCTGCCCATGCTACTGTCTGCCCTACTATTTTTAGCATGCTCGTGTAACCATATCTCCCTCTAGTGGCACCTAGACCACTTAGATATTAATGAGTATGCTACAGCCTTAGCTAAGAGGCATTTGGCTTTTAGCTCATGCATTAGAGGCTCATATGGTAAGCTTCAGAGGTCCCAGGTTCGATCCCACCTGCTGACGACCAGGGTTCTTTGGTGTTACACTAGCTCAGATGTGAGCTAGCATGAAAGTCTATGAGCTGGAAATCACACCTCTGGCTCATAGGGTAGACATAGCTTCTAATAGAACTCACCCTCCAGATGTTTTTCCTGATATCTAGCCTAAATTTCTTATCTCTGTTTCTTCTCATTACTCCAGGTTCTCCCTCCTTGTACCAGCCTAAATCAGCCTTTCATTCCTTCACGTTCTTCAAATGCCTTTACCTAGTTCGCATGTCCCCCATAATAATAATTTAGCCACATGTTCAGTAGTGAACAGGGTTCAAGTAAATATCACTTTCACAGGATGTGAGTGTCATTCCAGTCTACGTTGGCATTGGACGTCCTGGAAACGTAGCGTTGTGGCCACGTTCATCATGGTAGGAACATAGGAATTGCTACATCAGATAGATAAGTGGTCCGTATAGTGGTGTCCTTTCTCTGGCTGGCCAATGTCAGATGCTTCAGAGAAAGCTGTTAGACTCTTCAATAACTTGCTGAGTTTCTTTTTAACTCCCATGAGTTGGTGGTGATTATGATGTCACATAAATAAAAAATACAAGTGAAAGGACTGCGCTGGGGGATGAACTGCAAAGCTGGGAACTCATAAAAGCAATAGAAATTCAGTTAATGCTTTTCCCATTACAAACAAATCCCAAACAAAAC